TGGAAAGATTATTATTGTGAGCTGTGGCAACAATCTCTGTTCCAGAAAGATAAGATAAAAAACTGTTAAAACCAGTTCCTGACAGTCCATTATGATCCCTGATGGCTGTTTCAGTGCTATGGTTAGCTCTAAAACTAAAACAGTATGGGAAATAATGAAACTGATTAATTGTTGGAAACTATTCTTTCTAAAGTTTTGCTTACAAATGGAAGATTAGTCTTTAGTTACTTGGTATTGTAGATCTGGTCTGGACTGTTGGACACCTTCAGGAGGTTCACAGGTTAACTCAGTGGAAATTATTGACAATGTGTAAACTCTTCTGGCCTGTTTTTGGGTTAAGTATGTAAGAGTGGACTGTTTAGATGGCATTAACTTGGCCTCTAGCACCACTGTCAGGAATCTTGGAGTTATCTTTGATCAGGATTTGTCATTTAACTCCCACATAAAGCAGACCTCTAGGACTGCCTTCTTTCATTTACGTAATATTACAAAAATTAGACACATACTATCACAGACAGATGCAGAAAAACTAATCCATGCATTTGTTACTTCAAGGCTGGATTACTGCAACTCTTTATTATCAGGTTGCCCCAATAAGTCCATTAAAACGCTCCAATTAATTCAGAACGCTGCAGCACGAGTACTGACAGGAACTAGAAAAAGAGATCACATCTCTCCTGTACTAGCTTCTCTGCACTGGCTCCCTGTAACATGTAGAATAGAATTTAAAATCCTCCTCCTCACCTATAAAGCTCTTCATGGTCAGGCCCCTTCATATCTTAAAGAGCTCATAGTACCCTATTACCCCTCTAGAACACTACGTTCTCTGAATGCTGGGCTACTTGTGGTTCCTATAGTCTCTAAAAGTAGAACAGGAGCCAGAGCCTTCAGTTACCAAGCTCCTCTCCTGTGGAACCAGCTTCCAGTTGTGGTTCGGGAGGCAGACACCCTCACCACATTCAAGAGTAGGCTTAAGACATTCCTCTTTGATAAAGCTTATAGTTAGGGCTGGATCAGGTGAGTCCTGAACCATCCCTTAGTTATGCTGCTATAGGCCTAGACTATCGGGGGATTTCCCATGGTGCACTGAGCTCCTCTCTTCCTCTCTCTTTCTGCACTCATTCATGTCCCATTAATGCATGTTACTAACTTCACTTCTTCCCCGGAGTTCTTGTGCTTTCTCGTCTCGCAGGTTCTCATGGATCCTGGTGGAGCCTCCTGCCATGGTCCTGCTTGACTGCCATTGCCAATACTGTTGTTGCTGTGCACCTGTCTGTCTGTCTGTCTGTCTGTCTGTCTGTCTGTCTGTCTGTCTCTCTCTCTCTCTCTCTGCCTCTCTCTCTCTCTCTCTCTCTCTCTCTCTCTCACCCCAACTGGTCGAGACAGACGACCACCCACCTAGAGCCTGAGGATCTGTCCTAGGTTTCTGCCTCTTAAAAGGCAGTTTTTCCTTGTCCCCGTCGCCAAATGCTTGCTCATGGTGGTACTGTTGGGTCTCTGTAAATAATGTTAAAAGGAGTTCGGTCTAGACCTGCTCTATTTGAAAAGTGTCCTGAGATAACTTCTGTTATGAATTGGCACTATACAAATAAAATTGAATTGAATTCAATTGAATTGTCATTTGCAGGATGAGCTCCACTACACCACTGAAGCCACCTGGACGACACTTCATGAAGCACGCACAGAGATATAGTCTGTTTACTGAAACATCATTTATTTATCTGCACACTCTGGTTGACTTCACAACAAAAAATAAAAATAAATAAAATATAAATTCAAATAGAGCACTTCTGTTATGATGTGGCGCTAAACAAATAAAACTGATATTTTAGTCAAAGCTTCTGAAGCTCAGAGAGAGAAACTGGTCGTAAAAATAAATTCGCTTGGACGCACCCCGAGCAAACAAATGAGAAATCTTGGTGTTATCTTCGACTCTGACCTTAACTTTGAGGCTCAAGTGGGGTTGTCACTAAATCTGCTTTTTATCAGACACTATATATGGAGCCGACCAGCAGGACCCACCTGGACCCACCTGGACCCACCTGAAGGTCGGCGTGTTGAAGTTGGAGAACGGTGTAAATTTGAACCCAGTAAAAGAACATTATTAAAACAGAGAAATGGAAAAAAGTATCAAAACCAAGATGCAGATCAGAAATCATAATGCTGAAAACACTGAGCTGAAACAGAGAAACAATAGAAGAATGAAAGACTGAAAGGATAAATTAGAGGAGAGACTTCCTGTTGAACATTATGATCGATCAGCTGTTTGAGGATAAATCCTCTTTATGTACATATAAGTACATTTCCTGTTTATTATCTAACACTGTGGTGACGCAGCACGGGGGGCGGGGCCTCCACTCCCGCGAGGACCACTCCAGTGAAGAGGAGGATGATGAAGAGATGTCTCACTCTGCTCACATTTCTCGGATCAAAAGGAGAGACTGCAGTTTCATCTGAGAATAAAGTTCATCTGACTGTGACCATCCACCTCCATTATCTGTTGGGTATAATACAATAATATAATAATATAATATAATATAATATAATATTATATAGCCTACTACTCAGCCTCCCTGGGAAAGTTTACTCTAAGGTGCTGGAAAGGAGGGTCCGGACGACTGTCGAACCTCTGATTGAAGAAGAACAGTGCGGGTTCCGTCCTGGTCGTGGAACAACAGACCAACTCTTTACTCTCTAAGGTGTCCAGGAAGGGGCCTGGGAGTATGCCCATCCGGTCTACATGTGCTTTGTGGATTTGGAGAAGGCATATGACCGGGTTCTCCAGGATATCCTGTGGGAAGTGCTGTGGGAGTATGGGGTGAGGGGGTCACTTCTCAGGGCCATCCAAGCCCTGTATTTACAAAGCGAGAGTTGTGTCCGGATTCTTGGTCGTAACTCGGACTTGTTTCAGTGGGTGTTGGCCTCCGCCAGGGCTGCGCTTTGTCACCAATCCTGTTTGTGACTTTCATGGACAGGATATCGAGGCGTAGTCGTGGAGTGGAGGGGTTGCAGTTTGGTGGGCTGAGGATTGCATCGTTGCTTTTTGCGGATGATGTGGTCCTGATGGCATCATCAGCCTGTGACCTTCAGCACTCACTGGATCGGTTCGCAGCTGAGTGTCGAGCGGCTGGCATGAGGATCAGCACCTCTAAATCGGAGGCCATGGTTCTCAGCAGGAAACCGGTGGATTGTTTACTCCGGGTAGGGAATGAGTCCTTACCCCAAGTGAAGGAGTTCAAGTACCTCAGGGTTTTGTTCACGGGTGAGGGTAGAATGGAGCAGGAGATTGGCCGGAGAACTGGGGCAGCAGGGGCGGTATTGCGGTCCCTTTATCGCACTGTTGTCACGAAAAGAGAGTTGAGCCGAAAGGTGAAGCTCTCGATCTACCGGTCGATCTTTGTTCCTACCCTCACCTATGGTCATGAGAGATGGGTCGTGACCGAAAGAACGAGATCCCGGGTACAAGCGGCCAAAATGGGTTTCCTCAGGAGGGTGGCCGGCGTCTCCCTTAGGGATAGGGTGAGAAGCTCGGTCATCCGCGAGGGACTCGGAGTAGAGCCGCTTCTCCTTTGTGTAGAAAGGAGCCAGCTGAGATGGTTCTGGCATCTGGTGAGGATGCCTCCAGGGCTCCTCCCGAGGGAGGTGTTCCTGGCACGTCCAGCTGGGAGGAGGCCACGGAGCAGACCGAGGACCAGGTGGAGAGATTATATCTCAACACTGGCCTGGGAACGCCTCGGGATCCCGCAGTCAGAGTTGGCCGATGAGGCCAGGGAAAGGGAAGTTTGGGGTCCTCTGCTGAACTTGCTACCCCCGCGACCCGACCCCGGATAAGCGGATGAAGATGTATGTATGTAATATAATATAATATAATATAATATAACATAATAATATAATCTTAATTTATGCCCCAGATTTCTTTTTAACTGTCATGAACTGTGATATAAGACATTGTCTATTCACACACTGTCACTTCCTCAGGATCAATACTGGCCCACAGACTGCAGGCTGAGTCAGATACATTATATATTACATTACATTATATATTACATTACATATTACATTACATTATATATTACATTACATTATATATTACATTACATATTACATTACATTATATATTACATTATATATTACATTACATTATATATTACATTATATATTACATTACATATTACATTACATTATATATTACATTACATATTACATTACATTATATATTACATTATATATTACATTACATTATATATTACATTACATATTACATTATATATTACATTACATATTACATTACATTATATATTACATTATATATTACATTACATATTACATTATATATTACATTACATATTACATTACATTATATATTACATTACATATTACATTACATTATATATTACATTATATATTACATTACATATTACATTACATTATATATTACATTACATATTACATTATATATTACATTACATATTACATTACATTATATATTACATTATATATTACATTACATATTACATTACATTATATATTACATTACATATTACATTACATTATATATTACATTATATATTACATTACATATTACATTACATTATATATTACATTATATATTACATTATATATTACATTACATATTACATTACATTATACATTACATTATATATTACATTATATATTACATTGCATATTACATTACATTATATATTACATTATATATTACATTACATATTACATTACATTATATATTACATTATATTATATATTACATTACATATTACAATATATATGAGTGTGTGTGTGGATACAAAAACAGGTGAATGTAATCTATTACAGTTACAGATGACAGTATAAAGAATATTAATAACAGTGTATGTAACAGAGCTACAAACAGAGAGACAGCATCTTCCCGCGGAGTGAGTCATCACTTTAATAAACGATCTTCATCCGGTCTCATCGCGAGCTCCTCCGCGCAGCCTCCCTGCATCCGAGCGCGAGCATCA